AAATATCGAGTATATCGAAATTACCGTATCCAAATACCGGTTTAACGATATTTTCGGTATACCGATTCATACCGGTAAAAAATATCTTACCGAAATATCGATATTAAAAAAAAATACCGTCACCCCTAAGATATACTATAACTAAGGCAAAATAAATACCATTCTTATTTATTTTAACATAGAATTTATTTTAAACTTATTACATCATACTTTATAACACCAAAATCAATTTTCATTTTACTATTTCAAACAATAATATTGTGTTGAATTGCCTTTAGGGTCTATCCATTAAAATGACTCAAAAAAAAAAAACAAACTTTCATAAAATGTTAATCAAATTTTTTTTTACATTATGTAAATTTAGGTTAAAAAGTAAATATTTATATGTCTATCTTTATCATAATATTTCTTTGATATGATTTAAATGTCTTGACATAAGAAAATGTTCTTTCAGGTGTAGTTGTTGTGTACTAGTAGTATGTATAATACTTGTAACAAATTGTACACATTAGGAAATATTTTAGAATTGCATAATATTATATAATATCTTCCAGTTTTAGGGGAGTTTTTAATTCTTCAAAGTTTAGTTTTAACTCCATATCTGCTCAAATAGTTTGAACATTAGTTAGGAGATTCAATTTCCCTAGCTCATTAAAATCTTCAGACTTATAATAATTTTCTAATAAACAATGAAAACCTAAAAAATGTGGTAAATATTTATATCAATCTAAATTATATTTATTTTGAAATTACCCACTCCTGGTACGTGGAGGTAGTGACGTAAACTGACGATAATTCCCGTAATCGAAATGAATACATTTTATATCTCTTAATAAGAATAAAGCGTGTTAATATATAAATTTTAATAGTAGTTANGCGTGTTAATATATAAATTTTAATAGTAATTGGAATATATTTATATACATGTGTACATATACATGTATAAAGCCTTAAGTACGAAAATGTATCATACAAGAGGTATAGCCGTATTTTGTAGGGCGACTCCTGATAAAGGTGCCACGAGTGGCAGGGCTGTGTCACAATAAAAATTTGTTTATATATATATATCTTATTCTTCCTCACCTTAATTCCAACTACTTAGGGTCGGCCACGCTTATCCTAAACTTTCACTTGACACAATCTCCCACATCATTTACGCTCACGTCAGCTGTCCTCAAATCACATTCAATAGCATCCCTCCATCTCTTTTTTGGTTTTCCTCTACCTCTTCTTCCTTCAAAATTCAGTTCTAAAACTATTATTACAGCTTCCGATTCTTCTCTCCACATAACAAGACCAAACCATCTAAGTCTATTTTCTCTTTCTCTTATCTACGATTGACGCTACACCTATACTCCCTTTTATATGCTCATTCCTTATCCTATTTTCTCTAGTAACTCCACTCATCCATCTAAGCATTCTCATCTTTGCTACACTCATTCTCTGCTCTACTTTCTTATCAACCAGCCAACACTCTGAACCATATATCATAGCTGGCCTCACTACATTGTTGTAGAATTTACCTTTCAGCTTCATTGGAATTCTTTTATTGCATAAAATGCCAGACGCTTCTCTTCACTTCAACCACTCGCACTTAATCCTGTGTCTTACATTTTCGTCAATACCACCGCTCTTTTATACAATTGACCCTAAATACTTAAAACTTTCCCCCTCTCCAATCACGTCCTCGTCTATCGTCACTGATCTCCTCATTTCACCTACCTCGTGTTCTCCTTTGTTAAACTCGTACTCTATATACTCTGTCTTACTTCTACTTATTCTTGAACCCTTTTCTTTAAGAGCTGATCTCCACACCTATAGCGTCTGATTAATTTCCTTATAATATGACTCACAATCTTTATGCCTCTATAATTTCCACACTCCTGAATGTCATCTTTAACTTTAAATATCGGCACCACAATACAATTTTTCCATTCATTTGGAATTTTCCCTTTTAATAAGATTTTATTTAAAAGTTCCTTCAACCACTTTATGCCAACACAGTCTAATATTTTCTATACTTCTACTGGCATTTCATCTGGTTCTATTGCTTTATTCTTTTTCATTGATGCCACAGCCTCTTATACCTCTTTCTCACTAATTAAATCTACCAGTCCCTCATTTCACGAGATATCCTCTAATGTCTTTTTTGGATACTCCTTATTTAGTAATTTTTCAAAATACTCTTTCCACCTTTTTTTCACATCATCATCACTCAAGAGTACCTTATTATTAACAATTTTTATACACCTTATATAATGATAATCTTTAGACCTTTTCTCTCTTACTTTTGCAAGTCTATAGATTTCTTTCTCGCCTTCCTTTATTCCTAGCCTTTCATACAACTCATCATACCTCTTAAACTTCGTCTTACTTACTGCACACTTGGCTTCTTTGCACTAGTGTTTATACTCCACCTAATCTTCTCTTGTATTGCTCTTCTGCCATACTTTGAATTGCTTTTTCTTACTTTCTATGATTTTTTGAACGTCCTTATCCCACTATCAGATTTCCTTGTTTCCTGGCATTCTACTCCTACTCTCACCAACAATCTCCTTTGAAAATTCTTTACACAGCTAGTAAATCTATTCCACACATCATTTATGTCTCCCTCGACATTCCACACCGTCCTCTCTTTTACCGTCTTTATAAACTCTTTTTCATTTTCCCCTTTAAATTTCCACCACCAGATCTTCGATTATTTTTCTGTGTTCCTTCTGTTTTTGTATAAACCAAGGTGTACCAATCAGTACACCTCAACTCCATTACTATCAGTTCATGTCTATGTAGTTACACTCTCCCCTTGTATAACTTTACAATCTTTTACTCGCTTTACGCTCTCTCTCTTTCACATAAAATAATCAATTTGTGATCTATTCCTCCCATTCTTATAAATTATATAATGTTCTTCCGTCTTTCCAAAATAAGTATTAATCACAGTAAAATCATACGATACTGCGAAATCCAAGATTCTTTTTCCAGCCTCATCGTTTGCGATAAAACTATACCTTTCATGTACTCTTTCATATCCTCTCTTCTCATTACCTACATGTCAATTCATATCTCCACCTATCACCGCATCCTCATTGCTAGGTACCCCTTGCATCACCCCATCCATCTATCACCAAAACACTTCCTTGTCTATTTCATGACATCCTACTTGTGGAGCATAGGCACTTATTACATTCAGCACTTTTTCATCCAATATCAACTTTACGACCATAATTCTGTCACTTTTCCTAGCTAGTTTATATATATATATATAATATTGATGACATGCATGCGTGTACGGGTATGAAAACCAAAAATAAAATTATACAAGAATAGTGTTGCCGACGTGTGGTGAGTGGGGTTGGGTGAATGCGTTACGACAGTCTAGTCTCAAGACCATAGATGATGGGATACGCGAGAATAATTACACATGGCGCGTGGAGAGAAACAAACATACTTACTGGTGAAACTAATACAAGTATAATAAACGGAACACTAATAATTGCTTTATAATACTCTTCAGAGTAATTTATTATAGAAGTAAACTACACTAAGAATTTTTCAGTTTTCATTTAATAGCATAAAACATTCTTGAAAAATTAAATTTTTCAAATAATTTGAAATTAAGTTTTGAACATACTACTTACTAACATACTACTGGTTTTGACATGATGCTTACATTTTAGGAAATTTGTTTTATTTTTCAATCGCGCATAACTTCTTCATTTTTTTATCAATTTTACAAAATAATATATCATTTTCTTTGTTATGTATTAGAGTATGACGTCTATTGAAATTATTGTTGATAAATTTATTTTTTATTGGTGTATTTTACGTAAAACTCTGAATTTTTTCTGACATTTTGAAAAAAATGATAAAAATTCAGTGGTAAATTCGTGAATAGCAAACGACAAAAAAATCAAATAAAAAATTGTTTAAAATAAAAGTTATAGGTAATTCAATATTGTTTAATTTTATGTAAAAAAAATGAAAATCGGTTGAATGCAATTAAAGATATTAAGAATATAATGAAAACGTTTTTTGGCCTTATGTGTATATAAAAATTGTATGTAGTTTCCTTTGGGGCGATTCCAATATTTAACCAGCAATATTGACATATTTTTTATTGTTGATTTGCGTTTCGAATTCGAACAGTTCAAAGTTGATTTATAAGTATGTTAATGTAGATTATTTACTGTAAATTTATTTCGTACATTTATATATCAATTGTAATGATTTTATAAAAACTTGAATTTGACATTATTTACATTTATTTTTAATTTAATTTAAAATTGATGATCAGCTGAATTAGCGTAAGAAGATAAGAAAGACAAAAGGGATTATAGTAACTCCTTTTCTTTAAAAAAATAATAATAGCCTTTGAGGTTATTTAGTTAAAATAGTGAATAAATTAAAGATTGCATTAAATTAGTATTTTGTGAATTATTCTTAAATAGTCCTAAGCTTATATGACATTTGTTAAAATGTCAATATAAAATACACCTGCCTTCAATAGGCGAGGAGACTCAAATTGTTTTCTATATTAAATAAATGAAATGTATTTTTATATTTATTCGGCCTATGTCTTCCACCTCCCAATGGTTATGTCAATATTTTACAGTTACTTAAAATTAATGTTCACGTACAATAAAATTATTAAATTAATGTCGAAAAAGAATTTTTAACTCGTTTTTAATGAACTTTGAATTGAAATATTTAAGGATTTTAGAGGAATTCGTAGTTGTAACAAATAAAAAAAATAAGGATTTCTATTTATTAATAATTAAATTAAGTTTGGCGCATAAAGTATACAATTAGAGGATATGAATCAAATATAAATGACTATAAATTAACAATAGTTAATGATAATTTTTGGGACACTTGAATACTTAAATAAAAAAATCCTTGTAGCACAGACTTATGATAATATATTCTGTGCTTATAGTTAGAAATAAAATATGGTTCAGTACCGTGTTAGATAAGTATGATTTCATTCGAGTTTTAATGAGAACTTTGATTGTTAGTTATTAAAATTAAAAAAAATGTCTGAATAAATGATATCAATTTTGCTCTATTTTATATCTTTACAGCTTACTAATATACAATTAATTAAATTTTTGTTAATTACATGTTACTTATATAACAATGTGTTTTTATCTTGTAGGTATTTTTGGAGTTAAATCATAGCAGCAAAAAAGGTTTTCTTCATTATGGAGTCCTTGAATTATATTACTACATTTATAAATGTATTATTTTTCACAACTGCTTTTTCTGGTTGTAGTAGTGATATATTTGTAAACAACAAGTTTTATATGCTATCAACTGATAACAATGCAATTGTACATCCGTCTTATAACATTGATATACACAAATATAGCTTACACGGATATATCTGTTTTATATCCGGTTTAAATACAGTCCGAACTCAATTTAATATAGATGATAAAGTATTGTTTGATTTAAAAGAATATAACCTAAGTAATTCTGATTTTTTAAAGTTATTTACTTCCTCCTATATAGGTGGTGACTTTCCATCAATTAATATTAAAGCATTATCTTTTAAAGATTTAAGATCTAACGGCGACTTTAAACTTAATAGCAGTACATATGATTGTATTATTAACTATCATAGATTTATAATGAATTTTTGCTTCACAAAATATATTGTCGGATCTAGATATTCATATGAGTGCAAAAAACTTTTCGTTAATTTTCCTTCTACAAATGATGGCAAATATTTTCAGGTTCTCACTAATCGATCATCAGTTGATAGTTGGTGTTGTCCCTAAAATTTTTACTAGAAATCATTATCATTAAACTGTGAAAGTTTTTCTAATATTTGTGTAAGAACAAAGTTATAAAACAATTATTTGTCAATAATTAATAATGCAAAATATTATAATAAATAAATGTATTCACTATTTCTTAAGTGTTTTTTTATATATTTTCCGGGTTGGGCTGTAAGACTGTTAATAAAATGTTTTTATAATTTTTGTCATGGGTAGATAAATAAATAATTTTATTGTTTATTTATGCAATTTTATCATCCTTAACATACATTTTTTATACATATTAATAGACTGGTGTACCCCTTAGGGATGAGACTAATTTTTTTCTAAGAAGGGGTTGATGAGCAAAATTTGACGATTTTTTCCCATATTTAACGACTACAGATTTTTAATAATTAATGAAAAAATAAATTGTAAAAGAACAACAAAATCGGTAAAATTAAAAAACTAAAAAATTAGTTTTAGGGTAAAGTGTAATTGTAACTTAATTTTTCTCTTAGAATATTTAGCGTATTTTATTTTAAATTGAAAATTTTGGTCCTGATTTTCAATTATATTTTACTTTATAAATAATAATAAGTGATAAATTATGAGGTATTTAAAATCAATTTATTTAAAAGTATTTTAACTTCATAAATTAACTGTATATCTTTACATTAATATTAAATATCATATAAATAATATACTAAATTCATATAATTCATATAATAAATTTCATAACAATTTATAGCATAAAATTCAAAATTTTATAATAATAACAAAAATGTAATGTTTTGCGAATAATTTGTCTTTTATTAATAAAAGATCATTTTTTCATTTTTAAACTCTTAATGTCTATTAAATTTGTGAAATTTTTATTGCAATTTAACATAATTAGATTTTACAAATGATTTGCTCCAATAGTAACCAATGACGAATTTTCAATATTTTTATGGGTGAGGAGGTCCTATAGAAAAAAATTTATTTGAAATACGCATAAGAGTCTTTCCTTATATATTAAATAAAATAAAAATATTAATGTTGTGGAGTGATCTAGTCACCCTCCTCTCCTTAAGTTTTCCACTGATCTTAGTACGAAAAATTTGCACAACTGTAAAATTTGATCTATGGATTAACGTGGTTATGAATAAATGTGTATTTTTTTTATATTAGTGTTAAATTATTCGAAATCATTAGTATCATTAAATCTAAAAAATAGATTAAATTTATTAGAGTAGTTTATGATAAGTTCAATTAATTCGACAAGACTTTGTAATTAAATAAAATATTTCACATGATGACATACGTGTCAATAGTTAACGATACGTAGATATTAAAGTAAATAAAATAATTGATTAAATACCTATGCCACTTAATATAAATGAGTAAAATTGCGTTCACATCGTATTGATAAAAATATTTTTCAGTCGGGTGGATAAAATTTTGCTTGATAAAAAATAATTTTAAATAAAAATAAATTATTTAGACTATGAAAATGTTTTAATTAGCAACGTTCATATATGTGGGTGGTAATTGAAAAAACCTAACTCGCTTGATATATTTCAGTCATCTAATATTGTAACCTGGAAAAAAATGTGAGTGTATACAATTATTTTTTTTACGAGAACACAAAAACTCGAGTTTTGGTAGCTCTAAAGCCACCAAAATGATATTACCTATTAAATATTAGTCATTACATGCGCATAAATACTATGTATCTTTTTATAAAATGTTGTAGCTTAAAACATGTATAAGTTAAACTGATTTCGGATATTTTGCCATCAGGCACGTAGCCAGAAAAAATGTTTATTGGAGGTGCCAACAATTTTGGGCACTTGTATCATTTTCCATAATGTTTCCCATGAAAATCTTGTGGGGGAGGGCTCTCTCCACTCCTCCATAGACAGTATCCCATACTATGAATGTTACAAGTTCAAAATTTTACCATTGGTTGATTAAAAACAAATTGTTTTCGTATAAAGTATACTAATTATTACAGTATTATAAAAAATGGATAGTACCTATAATTAAAAAAAAAAAAAAAATACTTTCATCTTCACTATCGGGATAAATTTTTCATATTGTGAAAAATAATAAAATAATGATGTGAACATAAGTTGATTTAATTTTTCAACTTTTAAGCTATTAAGAAAAAATAATTTATACCTAAATACTAATAACAAATAAGTAATAAATAATTTTTAAAATAAATATAAATTATAAACAATGTAAAATTTATTTTATTTAAAATTAAAAACAATTTCTGCCTTTTTTTAGTCATATTGTTATTACTATTATTTAGAGCACGCAAATAACAAATTAACAAAAACAAATAAAATACCTATTGTAACTACTAAATTATAAAAAAAGAACAAATTAAAGAAAAGATTTATCAAACAAATTTTCATAGAGTATTACTCTATCGAATTTTGTAATCAACTAGATACTAATCAATTCAGATACTTGGTAGTTTGTCATCATTTGTTGGACAAGAGTTAAAAAAAATTTACCTACAACCCACATTTGGAATAACTGCTATTCCATTTATTATTACGTCTAGAACGTTATCTTTTCCAAATAACGTTTTCTATGAACATAAAAATGAAAATGCATNTTTTCTATGAATATAAAAGTGAAAATACAGCCATAATAATAACTGTATTACTCAATAGTAATGACAAATTAATAATAATTTCAATGTATATAAGGCCTAGCACGTTTTTGATAATTCGTAAAAATAATTGAATTTTAAATTTGGGGGGGGCCACATTAAATGTAAGGGGAGCCAGGCCCACCCATGTCTACGTGCCTGCCCACGGGTCTCTACCCTCAAAACCAGAGTCGACCACCTTTTTTGCTACGTAAGTCGTGTCATAGTTTAAAAGTTAAAATTTAAAAATGCATAATTTTTTTCATTTTTTAACAATTTTAAATGTAAAACCTATATTTAAAATTTATGTGACCCAGTCACATTAAATCTAAAGGGGCCAGGCCCACCTATATCTACGTGCTTGTTTGCCACACAGCTGCATTGAATAATATGTTATAAGTAAAATATTGACACGTAAAAGAGTATGTTGTTAATTTGGTATTTTTACATGTTACGTCTCTAAGGCAGTATGTATTGAAGTAGTTTNAGGCAGTATGTATTGAAGTTGTTTGTGGTTTAATTACTAAAACTTGTTGAATGCATTGGGTTGTCATTTCTACCAAGAAGAGACATTTTCTTTTACTTATTAAGAAAACGTGACTAATATTTCATTCCTATTTGAATGAAACTAATACATATTTTTTAGCTTCGATGCGAAGCTGAGAAGGTATTAATTTTACTATGATGTGTTTTTTTTTTAATTTTTTTTTTGTGTCTGTGAACGCTCAATCTCAGCTCTCGCTGGACCGATTTTGATGAACAATGTGTCAAAAGATCACAAATCGTATCTAGTCGAAGACATTACCCTCAAAAAATGAAAAAAATTCCCTCGTTCCCTGTAAACGGGGGAAATCCCCCAAAAAATTACAAATTTAAAAATCGCTAATTTTCGATATTTTTTCAATTTTTTTTACTTAAAATTGCCATAACTTTTTTAAAAATGATCGAATCAATATAATTTTTTTTTTTATAGATACCTTAGATAATTACCTATCATTTTATATATTTTTGTGAACATTTGA